TACAGTGTTTCTGTTACAGAGTAGTGAGGACATGGAGCATCTTCCCAGCTGCAGCCGGTGTCTCTCGTTTGTCTGACTACTTTCATAAACTACTGTTAGAGCATAGATTATTCTATCTGCTACTTTCAGCGCTGCACACGTGTTACATGGATGTAACAAATATAGCTTACCTCCACTTTAGTAAAGTTTCTGGTGCCACTGGGCAGCAGCAGCAGAGACCATCTCTGAAAAATGCCCGCCACACGGACAAGTTTTTTTCATTTTTTAATTTTTTTTACAAGTCAAGAGAATAGGTGGACGTGTTTCCTAAATCCTGCATCAGTCCTAGCAAGGCCATTTATTTCCATTCTTATCCTGCTTTAGATGCCATTAGCACTGTGCATTGTTGTGTGCGTCAGTGATATTTGGTCTACAAGACGAAGGTTCTGCCTTGCTTCAAATGCAAGCAGTGATTAAATGAGTGAATTTTTTAACGCATCATTTTTTTCTAATTAATTAATTAATTAATCATAATTAACGTGTTGACAGCAGCTGCAGGCCGGCTGATGGTTTTGTGTGTAGAGAGTGGCGGGCGCTTTGTGTGACTGGCCAATCACAGAGCGTGAAGATAGTCGGTTACCCAGTGAGAATCTTCCTTTAGCACAGATACAGATATTTACGGGTTTTACTCGTTCTATGCTCGTACTCGTCAAAAATGCTTTATCCGTATCGGATACTCATTTCAGGCTCATCCCTACTGGAAACCATCCAGGAGGTTGCTTGTCTCCAAGAAGTAGTTCAGCTGGATCATAACAGCTTTTTCAATAACTTTCCTAAATGAAGGGCAGATTTGAAATCGGTCTTGTAAGTATTAATCACTAAAGGATCTAGTTTACTTATCTTCAGAAGAAGCTTAAAGTGTCATGTTGTGTTCTCATATATTTATATTTTAGAGACTTACTTGTCCGTGAAAAGTTTATCAACTCTGCATCAGCCGAAGTATTCCTTAAAGAGCAAGTCACCCCCAAATTAACTTTTTTCCCCTGATAAACTATGTAAATGCGTGTCTAATCGTGCTGCAGAGACGTGTAGTCTTGTTTTGCACTTTAGTGCATTTTTGTTAAAATTTAAAATTTCTGCCTAAAACTTTCAGTGTTGTGCCGTTGTCAGGTAAAAACTCTGCACTGCATTTGAATCTAAATTTGCCATTGCTATTGGCTAAGAGGTACCCTAGAACGTTAGCTGGTACCATATGATGTCACAATGTCATTGTGAGCCTGTGTGTGTGTATATTTGTTAGTGGCTCCGCCCTCTCGGTCTGCTAGGTAATAGCATTTGTTGCATTTTTCAAACAGGAAGTGGGAGTTGAGTAATACTCTGGTAAGGGGTGACTTGCTCTTTAAATTTGAAGCAAGTAAGCAGTAGTCTAACGCTATTGGTTAGTTCTGGTCGGCCTTCAGTTTTCTATTGCAAGGAGCTCTGTGGGGCAGGGGGCGTGGTTAAAGGAGTTAGCTGGTAGTATATCAAGACAACACGTAGATGAGTTTAAGCTCTTAACTATGTCCTCTAGTGTATTGGCACTAATTATATTGAAAACTGGCATTCTAGCCAGAGTTTTGTTCTATGTTCTAACGTAGACAACTTCATCAGTGTGCCACCAATGACACCGGTGACCAGGAGAATGTGATAATGAAATATTTCCTGACTTATCAGGGCTGCAACTCTCAAGTCACACAGGAGACGATTACCCCATCCATCCATTTCCTCCTGCTTATCCAGAGTCGGGTGGCGGGGGCAGTCATGAGGCCCAGACAAAGATCACATCATCTGCAAAAAGCAGAGAGCTGATCTTCAGGCCACCAAAACAGATCCCCTCAACATGTTGGCTGTGCCTAGAAATCTGTCCAAAAAGGTTATGAACAGAATCGGTGACAAAGGGCAGCCTTGGCGGAGTCCAACTCTCACTGGGAACGAGCCCGACTTACTGCTGACAATGCGGACCAAGCTCTGACACCGGTCATACAGGAACCTCACAGCCCGTATCAGAGGGCCTCGTACCCCATACTCCCGGAGTACCCCCCACAGGGCCCCCCGAAGGACATGGTCAAACCCTCCCACCGCACCCCCGTGCCCTTGCTGTGTGTGTGTGTGTGTGTGTGTGTGTGTGTGTGTGTGTGTGTGTGTGTGTGTGTGTGTGTGTGTGTGTGTAAGTGTGTGTGTGTGTGTGTGTGCATGTGTGCATGTGTGTGTGTGTGTGTGTGTGTGTGTGTGTGTGTTGGGTTAGGGTCAAAGAATATTAAATGTGGAGAAAACCACTATAAATCAGGTCATGCGGTCAGCAGCTATGCTGAGGAGAAGAGCTTCTGCTGTGATGTCATAATCTTTTAAGTACCAATTTTTACAAGCTAATAAATCTGAAATAATGTGACAAACAGTCAAAGCACTTACATATGTTTTTATTTAAATTGCCTTCTTAGTGTTCTACAACCCCCAATGCGCTGCACAACTAGTGGTGTGCATCTCTACCTGCCTCACGATTCGATCCGATTCCGATTATCTGCCTAACGATTCGATTTGAGTCTGAAATGCATCACGATTCCTCACACAAAAATGTTCATTACTTAATAAAAGCAGAAGAATAGTTTTCAATTTCTTTTTGATTTCGAAATCCCTGAAAAACAGAACATTCATCTATTCACTATAGTGAGCAATAATGTTTAAAGTATGCTGCCTATAATTACTTAAATAATATAAGAAATAATGTTTTCGGTAGAGCAGCTTTAAGATAGAATATTACTGAACTTAAACATAGTAAACAAATACTGTGTTAAGTTATTCTTGCACATCCAGGATCCCAAAACCGAAATTAGCCCAGACATCCGATTTAAATGTAACGGGTACATCTTTGATTACTGGTTATGTTGACCCTGTATCCCTGTCCACCTTTTCTGTTTTAAATTGGCGCTAGGACAACGCCGTGCGCATGTCATTGCAACTCTGCCCCCAGAAGTAATTATAAAACCTCAAAACTTTATTGTCCTGCATAGACATCGACCAGGGGTGGGCAACCTGTTCCCATCAAAGAGCCATTATTACCCGTTTCCCACAGTAAAGAAAACACTGTAGCAGCCGCGGCTTTGTGGGCGGGGCCTACCCTCAGACAGCAGAGCGCTGCTCACAACAGGTGACAGCAGCCGGTACCGGTCGCTCGTGTACGTCAAAGTTATCTTTCATAAGACGATAATCAATAAAACGATTTATTTAAAGTGGATCCAGAAGTTGTAGCCCGTCTCTGCCGACAATATTTAGATATTTTTCACCCTGTTGGTGGTTTTACTGAGCAGGTGCCACTTTTGTCATACGTTTCTTTTTAAAACATGTTTAGACTGTTCAGAATACAAATCCAGGCTCTGTCACGTTTGATTGTTGTAATTAAACTTTGTAGGTGGGGAAGGTCAGAAAAGGATCCGATCATTTTGTTTTTCCCTCATTTACAGCGACGGAGATAACGGCGCAGTGCGCCTGGCTCTGGTGGTAATCAAGTTTAATTTAATCTCTTTGCAACAATTTTCACAAGAAAACAGAACAGTTAAAAGCAGGGCTTGTGTTGACCGGATAGTTCCCGTATTTGACCGTTTATTTTGACGGAGAAAGAATCGAAAGAATTACCCCGACGCATGCAGACGAACTGACACTTTATTCGTTTCACACATCGCAGATGTAGCTAAATCACTCAAGAAATGATTCCCTTCTGAGCTGGACACTGCTCAGCGCAGCTCGCTGTCAGCGCGTACGTACGGTGCACAGCGAGCTGAAGATGTGGAGAGGGGCTTGGAGCGCGTCGCAGAACCAGAGCGCATGCAGGAAGATTCCTCCGACTGAAGCGAGACTTGTCACTTAGAAAATGTTCCCTGATTATGAAACTTTGGCTGAATAGTGCTTGTTCCTGTCTCCAATGTGGCGACACATCCAGGATCTGAGGCGAATCCCAGAATCTCACATCCTCTTCAGCTCAGGAAGCGCCTATGATTACGCACAAGCATGACGCGTCAACCCGGTCTCACAGTAAGACCGGGTTGGACCTGTTCAGGTTTACGCAGACAATCTTTACATTTAGAATTGGCATACAGATGTAAAATTAATGCAGTAAAATATAAAGCTTTTTATTTAAATATCCATTCATTATTTTACAAGCACAGAGAGCCGCATCAGATGGATGGAAGAGCCGCATGCGGCTCCAGAGCCGCGGATGCCGACCCCGACATAGACATAGGGAGAGAATCTCATTATGTCACATTGCTGCGTCGATGCGGAATCATGCACGGCTGAATCGCGATGCATCTTAGAATCGATCATTTTTCCCACCTCTCTTCACAACACAATCAGTCATTCATCCATTCACACGCTGGTGGGGATGAGCTACGATGTAGCCACAGCTGCCCTGGGGCGCACTGACAGAGGCGCCACCACTCCCTCCGACCACCACCATCAGGTGAGGTGGGTTAAGTGTCTTGCTCAAGGACACTACAGCAGCATTCTCTGGTAGGAGCCGAGATCGAACTAGCAACCTTCTTATTACTGGACAACAGCTCTAACTGCTGAACTGCTGCTGCCCCTAAAACTGAAGTCCAACATATGTGTGATTCGGTGCATGAGGCAAAGCAGACAAGAAAATAACTTTCATAGCCCCAAACTTTTTTTTGTTCATGAACCCATGAGCTGACCCAAAGGGGGGAGGCTTAGGTTGCATATGGACCCCGTTACAGAGGCCTTGCTGCAACAGGAGGCTTGCTGGACGTGCTACTGACCTGATCTGGGGTCTGCTGCCCAGTCCTCTGCAGGGCGGTGATAGCGGTACGAAGGCTATAGCCTTGAGCAGTAATGGCTTCCAAAATCTCCCTCTCTTTTGGGCTCAGAGCTGACAGGAGTTCTGTGGACGAGTCTAGAGCAGAAGCATGACCCATGGGGGGTGAGGAGCTCGGAGGCTTCGTACAGGCCTCTGGTGTGTGATGGGTCTAAGAGACAGAGCGGTGAGAAAAGGGAGAAGTCAGGAACCTTAATGTAACTTTAGTGGATGAGACTGTGGCGGTCCACATGACTCGTGAGCCCTAACCTCACACGAGCCTTCACTAACCCGGCTGCACAGAGACAAGGGTTTCAGGGTCCTTTCCCTATTAAACAGGGGCTGTACGAAACACAACTCCTAACATGTCGTAAGTCTAGCTTCTCACAATAAACATTATATCTGAGCATCAGATGGAACCCAACAGCTTACCCTAGACTGTGTGTTCTGGTTGCTGGTTGCGGGCTTGACTGTTGTGTCTCTGGGGAAGCAGGATTGTGTGGTTCCTTCCATCACGGAGAAGGAACACTGACGCAGGTTCCTCCTGTTCTGGTGTGGCAAGCTGCTCAGACACGATGGAGGATTCAAAAAGTTGGGGACAAAGGCTCTCTGTGCTTTTCTCTGGTGATGCTGGGGTGAAATAGTGATGTGTGCGTTCCCTAGGTCCGCATTGACTGGTGTGGTGTTATCTCCTTCATCGTCAGAGTCTGAGTCGGTAAATGCGGTGCGCATGACAGCATTGAGGCTGAGGGAGCGCTGCCGAGGGTTGGGCTCCCACAAATCAGAGACGTGACGGCTGGCCAGGCGGCTCTGCTGTGGGCTGCTGAACAGCATCCAGTATGGCGGACAGGAAGGCAGAAGTCCTCGTGGAGGGGAGGAGGAGAGCTGAGCTGTGTGATGGTTGGTGAAGTCATTCTGAAGCCCAGTGAGCACCCAGTTCTCCAAGCTGAATTCATACTGCAACATAAAAAAGGATAAAACATTTCAACAGTCTCTCACAGAGGTCCTCTGTAAACAGCCACTACAGGAGATTCTGGGCCGACCGGGCTCATCAGGGTTTGCAGCACGACTATCGATCCAGGCCTGCATCACGCTCAGTGTGAACGTCCACTACTACCAGGACAAGTGCTCTGGATGGCAGCAAAAAGACCCCACTCATCTGCAATGGTGATACTGTTCTGATCTTCCCAGGCCTGCCCTCAACAGAAGCAAAGCGACAAGGTGTAAAGAACCCCCTTTGGTGCCGAAGCAATGACAAATTCAGGGTCTACAACCGACCAAGCTGAAGAAAATGTCCTCCCTGGGTGAGGACCCAGCTACTGCTAACAGACTAAAACCCAGTGAGCCCATCAGGGCGATGGCTGAACATTTCATATTCACAAGGTAACTTTTTACCCAGAAGCCATCTGACTATTGGGGGTGGAGGTGGCCGTTAAAATTCCTGTTAGAGCATAGCAAGTGTGTGTTCCATATCGCTCGTTGGGGATGGCCATTGCCTGTTGGGTGTTTATGTGTTTCTTTTTGCTTTTCCAGCTGCATTTGTGTATTTTTTACTACATCTCATATGTGTCCTCCTTTACTGGTGTTATGGCCACTTCCGGTACTTTAGCTTATACCACTAAGTCCACTAATTTCATTACTTGAAGTGTTAAAGGTTGTAGCAGTAAAATGGTATCCAGTCACCTCCAGACCTGTAAACTCCTATTGCGACATCTCCTCTCTAGTGAATGTGATGAAGTAAAGGTGAGCTGGCTCTGTCAGGTGTACCACTCAGGCTGTGGTTCCAGAGCCAGGGGTCTTGCAATCTTTATAACAAAAGGACTCTTCACTTCTACCAAAGTTGTTCATGGTTTGCTGTTATTACAGGTTGACATATTAGTATTGCAGTGATTATATTATTACTTTGGCTTTTTCTACCAGCTGGTGCCCCTTCTGTGCTATGCTTATTTGGAAGCCCATGCTACTGTATACTTGTGGTAATTCTATCTAAATCTATTAAATGCGTGACTTTAAAGAAAGATAAAAAGCCTAATGGGAATCTTATCATCTGATTAGTTTACTGAATGTGGACTGTAAAGTACATACAAAAGCCCTGTCACTATGAGGGCAGCAGTAGCTCAGTAGACAGAGCAGGTAGTCCGGTAATCGAAAGGCTGCAGGTTCGAACCTTGCATGCTCTGCGTGAGAACCTTGAGCAAAGCCCAGCTTCTCGTGTCTCCTTCCGGGGAACAGTTGCTAGAGCAGACGGCTAGCTGTGCCTGGGGCAGCCGGACCAGCTCACGTGCCAGGCTGCAGACATGGTCACCTGTGGATCTCTGATGGAGACCACAGAAAGACTGCAGCTCTTTGGGTTGATGCTTCTTCACTTTTGAGTCGCTCAACTGCATTTTTCTCACTGACGTGCATTCTTGTGTATCTTTAGGTTGAATGTGTTTATGTGAGAGCATGAGGGTGGGAGTGTGTAACCATTTGTCAGGCAGTCTTGGACTTCCCCCCTCTACTGGAACATCTTGTGGTACTTCAACATCTTTGGCCTATCCTCCACCTGCCAATGTACATTCATCTCTGGTGTCTGAGAGTTGAGTTGGCCCTTGTACATCCTTTGTTTATTTTTGGGTTAGGGTTTGACGGGAACCCCAGTTGGCTAAAAGTGAAGATCATTAGCTGTGGACCAGCTTTTGACATAATTAACAAATCCAACAGCAATGTGATTATCACAGTGGACCTGCATGTACTTGGAAGCATCAAAACTGGACTAGAAACAGTACACACAGCAACAGTAGTCTCCTACCTCTGTCTCCTCCAATATAGAGAGGTAATCAGCCATGGTCACTTTGACTTCCAGCAAGGCAACAGCCTGGGGCATCTTCAGACATACACCATCCATTCTGCTCCGTTTAGGTGGGCTGCTGCAATGCCTCTATGCCACTGAAAATCAGATTAGTTCTTTAAAAGCATGTCTTAGGAATGCCAAAGCAGATTGTTAATAAACATCTCAATATTTTCTGTAGTGAACAATGGTTAGAGCCTCACAACCCAAAACCAGTAGATACAGAAACGTTTTTAGGAGGTTGTCCCCCACTCACCAGCAGCAATGAGACAAGGATTTTTCATTATTTAGCCCATAGGGAAGCGTTGGGCTCTTTAGTTAGGTTTCTTTTAAAGGTGTCATCACCTGTTACTACCATTGGGCCATTAAAACCATTTGTATTGGAAAATGAATTAAAAAGTGCCTTTCTGACCCTTTTTTGAAGACATGTTTTTTCGCGAGAGCACACGCGATATTTCGGCTGACATTGAAGGATGTCCAAAGAAGATCCAGTCTTTCTCGGCTCTGATTGGCTAGAATGGCTCTACTACAACTGGTTATTTCAATAAACAGCAAACCATCTTCCCTTGATAAGCTTGATAAGATTAGATAAGTTGCCACCGCCACCAACAGAAAGCTGTTTTGGTTAGTTTTGTAAAGAAAATGTGGGCTTAGCGCTATGAGGCGAGAAAACCGGGACTTTCCTTGGACATACTACGATTCCAAATTACGTGTGGTTGAAAATTTGTTCCAAAATGAAATTTGAACCACTGTCTTTTCTGGCCGTGAATTCAATGTCTTTCGGCGTATCTCATTTGGATGTTTAAAATTAAAATTTGGGCATCCTTATTACTGTAAAAAATAAAAACTGATCGATAATTTAATCTGGATTAGATCCCAGGTCCCCTAAGAGTAAGTCAGGTGTCTTACTAGTTAAGCTATCATTTTGACACAGTTAAATGAAAATATTTCCATCACCAGAAATAATGATATAACCCAGAAAACATTTGGATGCTTGATGACAGCTAAAATGACATCAGTCCAATAAAAGTTTGATATTGTAAAGATATTGGTCAGAGGCAAAATTCCTTTCATATGTAAAGAAGTAATAAAACCTCAGATGGAAAAGGTTTTTGGATTTTCCCGACTGGACTTTTAAGAAAATCTGATGTGTTTGACTAAACAGAGATTCTTCCAGTTTAAGCACTGGGAAGCTGGTGACGTTTCACAAGAAGGTCTGCTGAAACAGCTATTGTGCTTTATAAAAATAAGCTTCGGCAAACTAGAACTGCTTATTTTTCATTGGTAATTGAGGACAATAAGAATAATCCTAAATTTATTTTCAGTGCAGTTGCTAAACTTACACAGAATCATAGCTCTGAGCCATCTATTCCCTTAGCCCTCAGCAGCAATGACTTCATGGGATGTTTTACAAGTAAAATTAATTCTATTAGAAACAAAATCTTTAGCATCCTCCCTAATGCGATTTCTTCTTCCTCAGTAAGTGAGGCAGCATCAGAGGTGACTGTAGAACCTCATCTGTGCTTGAACCGTTTTGATCCAGTTGAGCTTTCAGAGTTATCAAAAATATTAGCTTCATCTAAACCTTCAACTTGCATTTTGGATCCAATCCCAACCAAATTATTTAAAGATGCATTTCCTTTGGTTACTGCCCCCATTCTAGATATAATCAATCTATCCTTAGTAAATGGGTATGTACCACAAGATTTTAAGGTTGCTGTAATCAAACCATTACTTAAGAAACCTTCTCTGGATCCAGATGACCCAATGAATTATAGACCAATATCTAACCTTCCATTTATATCCAATGTAAGGGGTTAATTTATTCTTCTGAGCTCATCCATGGGTGTGGTTTTAAGGTCTACTGTACCCATGTATGGGCTATACTGGGCATGTATATTCTCAAGGAGGATTTCCTTGAAACCTTTTTCCTCTTCCATCCCATCCTTACATTCCGTACCAAAGTATGCGTCGAAGAGGCGTAGATAGAAGACTTGTGGGTCTTCAGTACAACCCTGTTTGACCGAGAAAGCTAACTGTGTACCAGCCTCCTTAGCACCATAAGTGTACTCTTTCCGAATCGCAGCTTCCAGCTTGTCGTAATCATTTGCGATCAAATTACACTTGCGATCAATAAGCGAAGCCACGGCATCGGAGGTTAACCTTATCACGAAGATCTTGTCCTCCAAGGTCATTCTCGGACATCGCTGAAAGTGAAAGTGAAAGTCACTCAGTTATGTGTCAACCGAGTATGAATTACCTGGTTTGGGGTTGAATTTCTGGATGCTCCGAGACATCCTGTAGATGTCAGATATGGGCACAGGTGCGTTCGGTTGGACTGGCTGGGAAGCTGGCACACCCATTGCAGCAGCACCAGCCGGTGCAGCTGGAGGAAATTGTTGCTGTGCAACCAGAAGGTGTGTAAGAGCTTCAGGCACATATGTATGAGCTGCAGGTGGGAATTGATGAGCTGGAGGTGGATAAAAGTGGCCTGGCTGAGGAACCAGGTAGCCTGAGGCACTGGAGGTGGAGCAAACTGGCCTGGCTGAGAAGCCAGAGGTAACTGAGGTGCTGGTCCCACCCCAGCTGCAGCAGGTGCAACCCCACTAGCTGCAATAGCAGCCGGTGGAGCAGCAACTGTAGCAATGGCTAAAGGTGGAGGTGGTGATGGAACTGGAGGTGGAGGTCGGTGGAGTAAAGGGGTCCCCCTTTCTCCTGTGAATGCAGAAATCTGTGATTTTAAATCCTCAATTTCATCTTCTCGGTTACGTACCCGAGATGCAGAGGTAATGACATCAACCTTTAATGCACACTTCTCATTCTCCAAGATGGTAATTTTACCCTCCAACTGAATCTTGTTATGCAACAAATTTGCAATTTCTGTCTGAGCTTCACTCAGCTGTTTCCGAGCTTCCATCAGCTCCTCGCTGTACCGTTCCTCGTCAGAGTCAGAACCACAGCCTCCTCCTCTTTGCTGTTGGTCAGAAAGTGTGCGCATTCTATCTTGTGTCTCCATGTGTGCAATAACCTCTTTTTCCCAGAGATGAGAGAGTAAGACTGCAAACTCCACCAGGTTATCTGTGCGGGCTGCTGGATTGACATGCTCACCTCCTCTGGGCAGACTTCCCACGTGTCAGTAACATTTTCATCAGCTCAGTAGCTGAACAGTTCTGCAAACCGTCATCAAAACCCTGAACAGTCATACTGGTAAGACCTACACAAGATTCTACAGCGTCAATGACCTGTCTACCCACTGAGGGAAGACTCAATTTTTCCCCTTCTGACATGTTTTTAATCAGAAATTAGGCTTTTCACCAAAGGGAATGTGATGAACAGAAATGCTCACTAGGTGGCGGCAGCGCGCCAATGGTGGGTACGGGTGGGGATACTGACGTCACCCGTGTGTTCGCTCCGCTTCACCTAATCGGGGAATCGAACTTCCCGTGGAGAAATTATTTTATCTCTGTTACACAAAAATAGTACACAGTGTCACGAAACACTCAGAAGAGACATGAAACAATATTCACCTTGAAGAAGCAGGAAATACCCTTTCAGATATGAAACTAAAATGGCTGAGAAATGACACGTCAGCCTTGGATGATTTGACATGAACCAGCGCCTCCTGTTGGAGGTTGACCAGTGTCACACCCCCTTTTGACTTTAAATGGAGATTCTGCACTCTAGTGGTGGATTACGAGATTGTCCCGTTTTCAACCAGAAACATCAAGTTTTATAATTTTTAAGTGTTTTAACTGTTTTAATATGTCTCAGAATTAGCACAAAGTGTCAAAAATGTACAAATATCTGACAAAATGGCTCACCATTATGTAAGGATTTAATTTACATCTAATTAACGAACCACAAGACGTAAGATTCCATAGTGAATATGAAATCAATCTTACGGATCTTTGGGTACTTTTAACCAGAAGATTGAAACTTTTTATTGCAGGGATTATGTAACACTGGCATTAAGTGAGAGACAAGAGAAGAGAGAGTCACCTTTAAAATGTTTAAGAAGATTTATTTCTAAACAATTTTAAACAAGACTAACTCTAAACTCTAACTGATTAATGGTGTATGTGTGAGTGATGTTGTAATCAGAACTCTCATATCTGGAGAAGCAAGTCTGAGTGATGAAGTGATGTTTTGCTCTTAAGCTATGATCGTAGTTTCATAAACAAATGAGACGCCATGTTGTCGCTCCACACATCCCCTTCAGATGAGACCTCCATACAGATCCAGACTGCCAGGTCCTCGAACCCCCCTTCAGTACCGGAGCCGATGAAACAGCATCAGCAGTACAACAAACTAGTCTTTGGATTGTCTCCAGGTAAAAAGCGACAGTTGGTTCACAGCGTCAGACGGACCCCCTTTGGGTCAGTGAGTTCAGCTTTTATTCTGAAAGGAACCATTGCTTGGTTGGTAAAATGCAACAGATTTCATCCAGCTTGTTGGTTCTTTGCTTAAAAAGGAAGTCCGGATGGCCGATCCGATACTTCTCTTAGAATGCAGTGAACTGCAAATAACTGAACTTAAGATGGTGTGGGAACTGGTTTTATTAATCTGGATGTTTTGATTTACGGTCGAATCAAAGCTGGCAGATTTATAAACACCACAGAGACTATGCCACGCTTCAGAAAGGAAGGTTCTGATTGGATGAGTAAACAATGTGTCATGCGTTTACATTACGTGTGATCAGAATGTCTCGTGCAGCTAGATTTAAGTCATATTACTTATTAAAGCATATTAATCATAACATTGTCATTTCACAGATTGGTCAACATCTTATTATTGACTAACACTTTGTTTGATTAGCTTTATTAAAAATAGAGTTATTTGATTTATTAAAAGGAAAGAGTCCTTTGTCTTCATTCTTCTCTTGGGCTGGAAAGGAAGCAGTTTAGAAGCAAATGCATGACCTTGAGGCAGTCTCATGCAGATTAGTTCTGTGTCAGAGACATAGGAGGAGAGAGGGTAAACAACCTTCGGTGGAATAGCACCTTCATCGCATTACACCAAAATCCTTGAGAAAAGTGGCCATCCAAGTATGTGAGCATTTAAACACTAATGATCTTTTTCAGGAATTTCAGTCTGGTTT